CTGCTGGTTCCCGGAGCCTGGGCGGGCAGAGCGAGGAAAGCTCCTTCCTGGCCCGGGCTCTCTCGGCCAAAGCTCCAATCCTGCCTCACCTCAACCCCGGCTCCCCCAGTGTCCGCCATGGCCAAAGCCTACGACCACCTCTTCAAGTTACTGCTGATCGGTGACTCCGGGGTGGGCAAGACTTGTCTGATCATTCGCTTTGCAGAAGACAACTTCAACAATACGTACATCTCCACCATCGGTGAGCCCACTGGCCGTACCCCAGGCCCCCAGTACCCCCCCCACCTCATCCTCAGTCTTCTAGATTACTAGTAACCCCACTTTTCAGTCCCCTTAGAGTAAGACTCCTAAATTGCAGTCTCTCAAACTCTGTTTCAGATTCACCCACCCCCATACATGTCTGGATGGTACCCAAAGCTTTAACCTCTCTAAAGCCTCCAGGTAACTATTTCGGTGGCTGCCAGTCCCTTGTTTTCTTGATAACATCTCCCTAATATCCCCAAATCCACACGAGCCCTTCTCTGTTTCCCTCTCAACTCTTTTCCCACACCATGTCCACCCAGAACTCCCCTGATCCACTCTCCACATTTCCTATATTCCTCTCCCTTGACGTCTGTCTCCTAGTTCTGCTGGCCTGCTGTCCGTGTGCTTTAAACTCCCATGGCGTCCCAACCTTACCACCTACTTTCCAGTCTTCCAACTCATCAACTTAAGTATCAGGGAAGGGTGAACAGGGTGGCTGGGTGTGCTGGAGGCTGGCCCAAGGACTGTGATCATGAACATGCAGTCAGCCTGGTGAAGAAAGTGGAAATGAGAGGACTTATGGGGTCTCTGACTCAGCCTGGTGAAACATCTCACTGGGACCCCCCAGCAGGCTTGGAACAGGCACCTAAGTTGCTACTGAGAACATTGTCTCCTCTTCTCCCTTCTCATCTTCTTCATCACTGGCTTGGAAAATAAGACAGGAAGTAACTCAGAACAATTCTGGTTACAAGGAAAGAAACAGTGCCCCTCTTTCCTAATTCAGTCCCAGGAGGAATACTTTTTAGCCTAAGAATTTCATAGCTCTGAGCTTGGCCCAAGAATCAATTCACATAGAATTGACTTTTTTCCTTACTCTTTAAAAGAGGGTGGATGAAGTGCCAACAGAACAGGGCTCTAAGAAAACAAAAGGGAAGAAGCAAGGAAAGTAATATTGGGGAGGAGACAGAGACTGAATTGAGGCAGTTGTCAGCTGACATAGCTGAGTGAACTCTAGAGGTGGCATGAGGGTTTTAAGCACCCTGCAGATGGGACTGGAGTGGTGGCTCATACCTATAATCCTAGCACTCTGGGAGGCCAAGGCAGGTGGATTGCTTGAGCTCACGAGTTTGAGACTAGCCTAAGCCAAAATTGAGACCCCATCTCTACTAAAAATAGAAAAACTCGGGAGGCTGAGGCAAGAGAATTGGCTAAGCCCAAGAGCTGGAGGTTGCTGTGAGCTGTGACACCACAGAACTCTACCGAGGGTGACAAAGTGAGACTCTGTCTCTAAAAATAAATAAATAAAATAAAAATAGGAAAACTTAGGCAGGAAGATCACTTGAGCCAAGAGTTGGAGGTTAGGCTGCTGTGAGCTGTGATGCCATGGCACTTTACCCAGGGGGGATAGCTTGAGTCTCTGTCCCAAAAAAAAGAGTTGGAGGTTGCTGTGAGCTATGATGCACTCTACCCAGGGTGACAGCTTGAGACTCTGCCTCAAAAAAAACCAAAACAGAGTCCCCTGCAGATCCCCCCCCCCACCTTTTTTTAAGAGACAGAGTCTCACTTTATCACCCTTGGTAGAGTGCCGTGGCATCACACAGCTCACAGCAACCTCCAACTCCTGGGCTTAGGTGATTGTCTTGCCTCAGCCTCTGAACCCCCCTGTAAAATTTTTATCACCTTCTCTCCTCCAAAATCTAAGTGAAAGCCATATTCTTGTTATGCAAGTATAGCTTTGAGAACTGGGTGTAGTGGCACATGGCTTCTAGAGGCTGAGGCAGGAGGATTGCTTTGGGTCAGTTCACAACCAGACTGGGTAATATAGTGAGACCCCATATCTAAAAGGAAAAGAAAGAAAAATACAATTTAAGGAAAATTCTCTAATTCTGCATTTCCAACAAGATTGTTCTCCTAGGTAATTTCTGGCATTGCTACTCCTCCTTTCCTGTCTTTCCCACCACACACACACACACACACATATATAAATATGCACACCCACATCTCAACTTTGGTGCACACCTTCCACCCCTAGGAATTGATTTCAAGATCCGCACTGTGAATATAGAGGGGAAGAAGATCAAACTGCAAGTCTGGTGAGTGAATCCCTCAGGATGCCTAACTACACTTCCCCATTTCCTTGTTTTGCTTAGCCTCCTGAGTAGCTGGGACCACAAGCACCCACTATGATACCTGGCTAGTTTTTCTAATTTTAGTAGAGATAGGTTCTGACTTTTTTTTTTT